GATGCATGTAGACTGGCGTGCCTGCCTGAGGCCAAGGGGCTACCTCCAGCTCCTAAGAAGCAGCAGAGAGGGGGTACGGGACTTAGCCAGAGAAACGTAGTCCAAAACTTGAAAGGAAATGGAAGGCAGTGAGGGGCCTAGAAAAGCTTCTGGGTGGGGGCAGCTGAGGACCCTGGTTCCTCTCCCACAGGAAAGGCTTCACATCCCTCCCTCCTCCTGGTGACCCGTCACCCCAGCTCTCCAAGGTTCCACCTGGGTTCTCCCCACACAGCTCCACACCACCGCATGGCCTGTACCACTTTTCCCACTCCTGCACAGCACCACCCTGCCCCACACAGCTTTTGGGGAGGCTGCAGACAGGAGGTCGCAGGAGGAGGGGGCTGAGCAGGGCCCAGCTAGATGGAAGAGGGGAGGGAGAGACCCCACAGGACTAGGGACAGAGATGGCTGGGGTAGGTGGGCCATGTGGAAGCATCGCCCTTGGTTGATATAGAAATCCTGACTCCATTTTACAGAGTCCAGCAGAGTGTGTGTGTGTGTGGGGGGGGGGGGGGGGGGGCAAAGACAAAAGAGAGTGTGAGAGGACTGGATGGATGGAGAGCAGCAGCGTTTGATTCATGGCGTATTTATTTTTATTTTTGTTAATATGTTTTTATTGATTTCAGAGAGGAAGGAAGAGGGAGAGAGGTAGAAACATCAATGATGAGAGAGTATCAATCTGATGCCTCCTGAATGCCCCCTACTGGGGATTGAGCCCCCAATCCACGAATGTGCCCACCACCAAAATCGAACCCAGGACCCTTCAGTCTGCAGGCCATGGCTCTCTCCACTGAGCCAAACCATGTTGGACAACCCATGGCCTATTTAAAACTGCTGCAGTAGGTTGAGCAGGGGCTTTACCATGATGGTGTTACCTTATAATGAGGGTGTCTCTCCTTATGTCGGGGTAATTGGAACTGCAGTGAAGTAAAGATACACCTATGGAGCCTGCACACAATACAATTTACTTCCTGTGGCAGCAGAAGAGGGTGAATAGAGTCTTGGAAGGACATGAGGTCTCTAAGACCAAGGGCTGGAGGGAAAGTGGGTGCCGAGCATTCCACACAATGAGTTACAATCTATAGATATATAAAAGCATGTGGCCTACCAGCCGGTTAATATGATGTGCACTGACCACCAGGGGGCAGATGTTCCGACTGGTAGGTTAGCTTGTTGCTGGGGTCCAGCCAATCAGGACTGGGCAAAATGGCCAGACCCGCCCTGGAGCCCTCCCACAGTCCCTTCTGTGGCCCCTCCCTGGCCACTGGCCTTTATCAGGGCTTCTAGTTAATAAATAAAATTTTTAAATAAAATTTTATTTATTTTATTTTTTAAAAAAATAAATATTGTTCATATTATTACAAATGTTCCTCATTTTTTCCCCCTCCATTGCTCCCCTCCACCAGGTTCCCACCCCACCCTCTGCCCTTTCCCGACCCCCCATTGTCCTCATCCGTAGGTGCACAGTTTATGTTCTGTCTTTTTCCGCACCCCCCCACTCCCCGTTTCCCCGAGAATCGTCAGTTCACTCTCCTTCCATACCTCTGATTCTATTATATTCACCAGTTAATATTGTTCTTCAGATTTTTTTAATTCCCTTGGTTTTTAGATTTACTTGTTGATAGTTACCTATTTGTTGTTCATAATTTTTATCTTTATCTTCTTCCTCTTCCTAAATAACCCCCTTCAGAAATCCATATAATTCTGGTTTGGCGGTGATGAACTCCTTTAGCGTTTTTTTATTTGTGAAGCTCTTTATCTGGCCTTCGATTCCGAGTGATAGCTTTGCTGGGTAGAGTATTTTTGGCTGTAGGTTCTTGCTATTCGTCACCTTGAATATTTCTTGCCATTCCCATCTGGCCTGCATGGTTTCTGTTGAGAAATCAGCTGACAATCATATGAGTGCTCCTTTATAGGTAACTACCTGCTTTTCTCTTGCTGCTTTTATTATTCTCTCTTTGTCTTTTGCTCTTGGAATTTTAATTATGATATGTCTTGGTGTGGTCCTCTTTGGATTTAAAATAAAATTTTAAAAATGAAAATGGAGGAACCAGCCCTGGTTGGTTTTAATCATTTGGTTGGAGCATCATCCCATACAATAGAACATTGCAAGTTTAAATTCACAGTCGGTCAGGGTACATACCCATGTTTTGGGTTTGATCCTTGCTCCGGGTGTACTAGTACATGGGAGGTAACCTATTGATGTTTCTCTCTCTCTCTCTCTCTCTCTTTCCCTTTCTCTCTCTTTAACATTAATAGAAACATATCCTCATGTGATGGTTTTTAAAAAATTTAAGGAACCAACACATGATACAGCATTTCCTCTTCTGGATATTTTTCTCAAGAAAATGAAAACACTACAATAGCTAGGATTTGGAAACAGCCTGGATGCCCATCAGCAGATGATTGGATCAAAAAAACTATGGTACATCTACACAATGGAATACTATGCTGCCATAAAAATAAGGAATTCTTATCATTTGCAGCAACCTGGATGGAATTGGAGAACATCATGCTGAGTCAAATAAGCCGCATCATGCTGAGTCAAATGAAAGAGAAACACCACATGACCTCACTCATTTATGGATAATAAAAAACATTATAAACTGATGAACAAAAAGATAGATACAGAGACAGTAAAGCAATAAACAGACTGTCAAATTACAGCTGGGAGGATAGGGAGATATGGAGAGATAAGAGATCAACCGAAGGACTTGTATTCATGCATATAAGCAAAACCAATGGGCGAAAAACTGTGGGGGAGAGGGCATGTATGGGTGTGGGGAAGGAGGCCATGGAAAGATATGTACACATATAATACCTTAATAAAAAAAACAATTAAAAAAAAATAAAGAAATTTAAAAAAAGAAAGAAAATGAAAACACTAAATTGGAAAGATACTGTATTTTTCAGACCATAAGACGCTCCGGACCATAAGACGCACCAGTTTTTAGAGAAGGGAAATGAAGAAAAAAAGATTCTGAAACAAATAGTGTCCTAAAATATTTTATGTGCATTGAAACCCAACATCACAGTCATAAACACATGTAATCAACCCTGTAAAGTAAACAGCAGCATTTAGAACCATTTTAGAGTCGGGCAAGCACACAGAGACCACACAGAGCCGGGCAAGTAAAAAAACTTCTTTTTAAAAGTATATGTGTAGGCTATATTTGGACCATAAGACGCAGGGACTTTTCCCCCCCACTTCTGGGGGGAAAAGAAGTGCGTCCTATGGTCCGAAAAATACGCTATATGTTCCCTATGTTCATTGCAGCATCTCTATGTTAATTGCAGCATTATGTATAATAGCCAAGATATGGAAACTAAAATTTCATTGACAGATAAGTGAAACCGATCTCTCTCTCTCTCTCTCTCTCTCTCTCTCTCTCACACACACACACACACACACACACACAGGAATATTACACAGCCATAAAAATGAAATATTGTCATTTATGACAATATGGATGGATCTTAAGCACATTATGCTAAGTGAAATAAGTCAGATGTACAAGTACAAAAATCATATTATTTCACTCATGTGTGGAATATAAAACAAAAAATTTACCAAACAGCAAAACAGAAGAATAATAATCTCAAAAGTACAGACATCAGAGTGGTGCTTACCTTAGGGGAAGTGTGAAAATGAGTAAAGGGAAGAGAAGGAAACCAGACTTTTGATAGTTTATACTAGGGGTGGGGAACCTTGGTCCTGAAGGCTGTATAAGGCTGTGAAATCATTTGGTCTGACCCTGCCAAGGAATTAAGGGTGAGTTAATTAAATATTTGTCCAAATATAACAGGCTAATTTTCAAATTGATAATTCTGTATGGCCTGTGAATGATGTTATAAATATCCAAATTTCCCTTGGCAGAAAAATGTTCCTCACCTCTGGTCTATACTCTAGCACCCTATATAGTATATAGATATCAAATTATAATGCTGTGCACCTGAAATTTAGATAATGTTATTAGCCAATATTACTTCAATAAGAAAATGAGAGAGAGAGAGAGAGAGAGAGAGAGAGAGAGAGAGAGAGAGAAAGAGAGAGAGAGAGAGAGAGAAGAGAGAAGAAGAGAGAAGAGAGAAGAGAGAAGAGGAAGGAAGGAAAAGAAGAGGGACAAAAAAGGAAAGTTGACCCTAATGATGGTTTACATACCTCTGAAACAACTTTAAAAACACCCATTGAATTGTACATTTAAAATTGTAAATTTTATAGTATATGAATTATAGCTCAATAAAGCTGTTAAAATAAAAACAAAGCAGTATTTGTGCTATTAACTGGGAAGCGAGGGTAGTAGATGTGGGTGCAAGCTCATGTTGAGTATGATATATCTCATTCTCAACATCTTCATTAACAATTTGTTGACCAGTTATCAGGGCCTGGGTTGGCATTAAAACAGAGTGCTGTGTCCTAGAAGAAGTGGTCAAGGATAACTCCAGGGTGTAAACCATGGAATCTAACCAAAACTGTGATTTTAAGAACTAACCAGGAAGATACAACACTGCCAAGATAATCAGACATAATTCTGGTTAGTCCCCACATTCTGAAACAGTACTTGAATTCCTTAGTTACTCCTGTGGTCAGAAAATCTTGCACTATTCCTACATCATCCTGTTTTATAGTTCTCTTACGTCCCTTAAATAAAATATTTTAGGGTAAAAAAATCCCAAAAACCTTTTTTAATTTGGATGCTACTTCTCAGGAAATATTGGAAACAGGTACAACTTTTTTTTCTTAAAGTATAGTTGACATACAATATTGTATTAATTTCAGATGTACAACATAGTAATTCAATATATACATACCTTATGATATCACCACAATAAGTATAGTAACCATCTGTCACTCTAAAAAGTTATTTTGATATAATTGACTATATTCCCTATGATTGATTGATTTTAAAACTGAAAGTTTGAACTTCTTATTCCTCTTTACCTTTTTTACCTATCCCCACCCTAGGTAAAATTCCTTAATTGAGAAAGGTATATGAAAGCAAATATATTTGCATAGGAACCCCATAACCCCAGAAATAATCCTCTGGTAAGGGGCTTTGAGAATTCCCATTGCTCACTTCAATTATGTCTGTGAGAGATTTGGAGCCTAAATATCTCATTCAGAGGCGAAAAAATGCAGTTCACAGATGTACAATTTTTAACTCATTCACTTATTCAACATACATAAATCAATAACTTACTCTGTGCCAGTCACTGTATTATGTTCTGTGATATTGATAAAAATATGGATTAAATTCTAGAAGAGTGCATTAAACCAAAGGTATCAAGTGATGAAATTAAGGTATGCATAGATGCCTGTGAGACCCCAAAAGAGTGACAGTTAACTGAGCTTGGGAGAATCTTGGAAGCATTTAGCACAACTGAACTTATGTCATCAAATAAAGGCTGAGGAAAAGCATCACTGATGAGACAACACTTTAACTGAACCTTGAACAAGTATGATTTATTTAGGCAGACAGAGAGGAAGGCTGTTGTCCCGAACCGCGGGACAACAATGGGGGCACGCAGGAACCACCTAAGAGAATGAAACAAACAAGGAACTCGAAAGAATGAAGGCAAGACAAGGTTCTGATCAAGCCTCAATTTTATTCTCTGAAATGGCTGTATTTATACAGCAGAGACAAAGGGGGGGCAGGGCCGCCCATGCAGAGGGGTCCCTGGCAGTGTCCATGGGGGAGGATCAGGAAAGGGAAGTTGCAAAGATGTTAACATTCCAAGGTGCAACATTCCAAGGCTGGGCTATCTAGGGGGGAGGATCAGGAAGGGGAAGAGGCAGGAAGACAGGAAGATGCTAAGCCCCAGGTTAATCTTATCTTCTGGCCAAGCCCTCAGGGCACCGCATAACTTCTGTTAGAAGGAACTTAATTCTATTTTCTTAAGACTGAGTTGTTCGTCTCAACTCTGCTGGCTCCCAACAGGCTGTTGGCAGAGAAACAAATGAATTAGTATCCTGTGGCAAGAAGCATATGAAAATTACCAAGAAACAGAACGAGAATGGAAGGAGTAAAATAGCGTAAAGCACTACTTCTCCAACTTTAATGGTCACACATATCACCTGAACAATCTTGATAAAATATAGATTCTGACTCAGTGGGACTGAGTGGAGCACTTCTAACAAACTCCATCAGTGATAGAGTTGCTAGTCTATGAGCTACACTTAGATATCTGTTTGGGTGTGATAAGAGAAGAAGGTGAATAGTTCAAGTTAACACAGATATTTTTTTTATATAGTATGATCTGCAGTAGTAGTGTCATGGACTTGTAGAGAAAATTTAAGAGGAGATTTTCAGGAAAATACAAGTTTTGTTTTTGTGGGTTTTTTTAAGTCACCTCTGAAGATCTCGGAAGAGATATCTATCTGGTAGGCCCTTGGATAGAAGGGGAAAATAAAACCATGGTACAAAATGAGGAGTACAAAGAAAGTGAGAGAATGATTCGAAGAAAATGATGTGTTCACTTCTACAGAAAAAATTTCAAGAAGGTGGGGAATGAACAATGTCAACTGTTGCAGAGACATCACGTAGATACAAGACCAGAATCCAGATCACAAGGAGTTGAGGATTAGAAAGTGGATGTTTTGATGCATAACTCCAGAGGGTTGACTGAAAAGTATCAAGGAGAGTGCAGTAATGGAGTGGAAAGAAAGAAATGCAAATTGAAGGGAGGGGTTCTTCCTTCCTCCTATCTTCACTTTTATTTGTTCTTCCTTCTTTCCTTCTTCCTTCCCTTCCTTTTAGAATTGTTATAGAAATTTTCCAATGTACAAATAGATTGAGAGGATATTATAATGAATTTCCATGTGTCTATCAAGCAGCTTCCACAGTTTTGTACATTTTTGCCAAGAAGGGATTTTTTTTTTAGATGCAGCTGACTTAGGCACATTTACTTATATACTCAGGAACAAGCCAAGATAGAAGGAACAGTTGGAAATTTGGAAGAGAAAAATTATTAATTGATGGATATTTGAGAAGGAGGCAGTGATGGATATAGTACAAGCTGTGACCCTGGCTCCACATAGTGGCAAAAACACTTTGTCTACTGAGTTGAGACAAAAAGAGCTAAAAATCACAGTCCCTCAGAAATCTGGTTAAAATTTCAATTCCCAGTCCCATGGCACTCCAAACCACTTCAGTCTTCTTCAGTTCCTTCCTTGAATCCATTCACAAATGTTTTTCCCAAAAAAAATCTATTCCACCCAAACATTTCACAAGTTCAGTCATTTTATTGAAGATCCAGTGCCAACTAAGACTGGTCGCATTACAGACAACAGTCACTACCATCTTCCATCTTGGGAGCACCCTCTATTATCTCTCCAAAGCAATAGAGAAAGTGTTCCTTTTGCCCTACAACTAATTTCTTCCTAAGAAATCCAGCGGAAGAGAAGATGACAGCATAGGTAAATACCTGAAATTGCTGCCTCCCACAACCACTTCAAAATTACAACTAAAGGACAAAATGGACATCATCCAGAACCACAGGAAGGCTGGCTGAGTGGAAATTCTACAACTAGAAGATAAGAGAAAAGCACACTGAGACTCAGAGGAGGTGCAGAAGTAAAGTGCAGATGTACAGAGGAGCGTGCATGGAAAGGGCTGGCAACTGAGGACGTGGGTATCTTTTTCAATCGGGAGGGAGACACAAGCTCCCAACTGCTTTGAACTCCAGTTCCAGGCCAGACTCTGGGGACACAGACTCACATGGGGAGAAACTGGACTGTCTGGCTTTGGACAGAACTTGAGGGCAGCTTTCTCTCAGAGGTGCTTGCAGCTATTACTGAGGGACACTGAGACTCGGGGGCCTTTTAGGGCAGAGCTGAGGATCAGTCATAGCTGTTTGCTCCACCCTGTTGATTACCTGAGACCCGCCCCACCCAAGCTGTGTGCAGAAGCTTTTGCATATGAATGGCCTGAAATCTAAAATTGAATTTATAAAATTTCAAATGAATTTTGAAATCTAAAATTACCTAGTAAACTGCAGCTTGGTCAGGGGTCCCCAGAACTTCCAAAAGAAGGCCCAAGGCCCCAGAGCAGCTTGCATTGCTTCACAACTTGGTCTCACCTGGGCACCTCCAAAACCCAAACAAAGAAAAGCAATCTGCAGATCTCTCCTTAGCTCCTACTGGGTGGCCTCAGGTAGAGGCTAAATTAACACCTCCTTGGAGATCCAAGATCCAGTGTACCTAGGGGTCAGGGTAGGACCATCCAGATTACAACTCCTCAGATCCATAAGGAACACATTCAGGGGGCAGACTCAGTGAGCACCAAAGCCCCACTGAAGCAAGTCTTGCCTCATAGTGTGTCTCCAACACAGAAGTTCTCCCATCATAGACACAGCTGATCCTCACAGCCAATTGACCTGGGGTCAACTCCTCCCAGTGATAGCAACAACAATCAAGGATTAACTACGACAAGACTGTGCACACAGCCCACAAAGGGGTACATCAAGAGGGCCCACCTCAGGTAACTGTGGAGGCTGAGCCACTGGGCTCTATAAGACACCTAGCACACAAAGCCACTCTATCAGCACAGGAAGCAGCCAAAATGTGGAGACAAAGAAACAGGTCACAAATGAAAGAAATGGAGGAAAGCAAACTGCTGGATATAGAGTTCTAAAACCACGGTTATGCCGAAACTGCTTTGGCTCAGTGGATAGAATGTTGGTCTGCGAACTGAAAGGTCCCAGTTTTGATTCTGATCAAGGGCATGTACATTGGTTGTGGGCACATCCCCAGTGGAGGGTGTGCAGAAGGCAGTTGGTTGATGTTTCTCTCTCATCAGTGTTTCTAGCTCTCTATCCCTCTCTCTTCCTCTCTATAAAAAAATCAATAAAGTATATTAATAAAAAAACATTGTTATGTTTTTTCAAGAATTTTCTAGAAAAGGCCGATAAATTTAGTGAGACCCTTGAGGATATGAAAAAGGACCAACTAGAAATGAAACATACATTGACTGAAATAAAATTATATTGTTATACAGAGATCCAATAGCAGACTAGAGGATTGCAAGGACTTGAAATACAAAGAAGCAAAAAACACCCAACTGGGAAAGCAAAAAGAAAAAAGAATCCAAAAATATGAAGATAGTGTAAGGAGCCTCTGGGACTACTTCAAGCATACTAACATCCAATTTATTGGGATGCCAGAAGAGAGAGAGCAAGATATTGAAAACCTATTTGAAGAAATAATGACAGAAAACTTCCCCAGCCTGGTGAAAGAAATAGACTTACAAGTCCAGGAAGCTCAGAGAATGCCCAATAAGAGGAATCCAAAGAGGACCACACCAGGACACATCATAATTAAAATCCCAAGGGCAGCCGGGACGGGTTTGGCTCAATGGATAGAGCATTGGCTTGGGGACTGAAGGGCCCCGGGTTTGATTCCGGTCAAGGGCATGTACCTTGGTTGCGGGCATATCTCCAGTAGGGGGTGTGCAAGAGGCAGCTGATCGATGACTCTCTCATTGATGTTTCTAACTCTCTATCTCTCTCCCTTCCTCTCTGTACAAAAATCAATAAAATATATTTTAAAAAAATAATAAAAATACAATAAAATGCCAAGGGCAAAAGACAAAGAGAATATTAAAAGCAGCAAGAGAAAAATGGTTACCTACAAAGGAGCACCCATACAATTGTCAGCTGATTTCTCAACAAAAACTATGCAGGTCAGATAGTAGTGGCAAGAAATATTCAAAGTGATGAATATCAAGAACCTATAACCAATATTACTCTACCCAGCAAAGCTATCATTTAGAATTGAAGGTCAGATAAAGAGCTTCACAAAGCTAAAGGAGTTCATCACCAACAAACCAGTATTGTATTAAATGCTAAAAGGTGTTCTTTAAGAAGAGAAAGAAGAAGAGAAAGGTAAAGATAAAAACTATGAACAACAAATACATATCTATCAACAAGTAAATCTAAAAATCAAATAAATAATAAATATGATGAACAGAATAAACTGGGAAATATAATAGAATCAGGAGCATAGAAAGGGAGTGGACTGACAATTCTCGGGGGGGGGGGGGGAAGGGGTGTGGGAGGTTCTGGAAGAGACTGAACAAAAATCATTCACCCATGGATGAGGATGGGGTGGGGGTGGCGGTGTAAGGGGAGAGGGTGGGGTGGGAACCGGGTGGAGGGGAGAGGAACAATTGTAAAAATACTTATTTTAAAACAATTAAAAATTAGAAAACAAAATCCAGAGGAAGAAATTGTTTTAGTCACTTAGTATGGAGATTGTTTTTGGTACCATGTCAGGAAATGAGCAAATTAATGCCTAATACAAATTAATTTCTCTGAGAAATATGAAGAGAATTCATTTGGAAAGGGTTCATTTGGCTGGAATTGTATGGAAAGAAGTTTTATAAGTGTGGCAAGAGTTTTGAATATTGCCAAAGCCTGCCTTTTAGCTTTACCTAAAGTGATGTACGATATTACATTCTAATAATAGATGAAAACAGCAAAATGCACCCCCACACACACTCACAGAAAATGAGAATATGACTATTAGGGAATATTAGACTGCTATGAAGTGCCACTTATATAGGGTGGGTCTTTCAACTGGTCTGCTTTTGTGTTTACTATTGGAAGGTAAAGTTGGGAAATGGTAACAGGGAACTTTTCTTCACTTAAGTCTGAATAAGTAGGTATTTGTGTGAGCATCATCCTAGCCATTCATTAGATAACAGCTTAGTTCTACAAGCAGAAATGTACATTCCAAACATTTTCTACAAGCTTCTTGTCTCCCAAGCGAATCTCTTTCTGCCTCCTCCTTTCTATCTGTGATATTTTGCAGTGAGCACCCAATACTGGGAGTGATAATTTCAAGATTATTTCAATTGGGTAGTAATTTGGTAACTGTCTTGATAGGGAAAAATATATAATTTGGAAATAATCAATCTAACAAGAGAAAAATGGATAGATGCTTAAAAATTGATTGGGTCATTAAATTGTTAGAAACAATAAATAATTTGGAGTTCAAGTACCATAAATATAAACAATATAAATACTGTGTGTGTGTGAATTCATAAATTACATTTTAATTATGCTTCGCTCATCTTTTGCATTTGAAATATTTTTCTTATAGTGGAAAATCATAAGGACTAAAAGAAAAGTATTCAATACTAGATTCTTATGGTATAGAAATTTGTAAACATAGAGTATATGTACTACTTTACAATATTTCACTAAATTAGCCTATCAAGAAAAATACCTCAATCCGATTACCTCCCAGTCTATTCTTGTGACAGTATTCTATCTTTTAAATTTTATTAGTAGACAACAGTATTTCCAGTAAATGTTATTGATCACTTAAAGCAGTGCCAAGGACTAAGAAATATTGATGCTTTGTGTAAAATTGAGCTTCTCCCAGGCAAATAAATACCAAGGCTTTAGAGTTTTTATGCTCACCAAAGTATAGATTTCCCCCCCATTGATTCAGAAAAAAATGACAACCGTTATTCCCATACATTTAAAATTATACATTTAGGAAGAGGCAATTATATTATAATACAATGACATTGCATTTTAAGAAGCAGCATGGAAGGTGTTACCTCAATTTTATGGGTTAGAAAACAGAACCCATAGAGATTGCCATTTCGCCAGTGTGGTTTGGCAAGACAAAGCTAAAACCAGAGCCAGATTTTTGGTTCCTAACTCCAAGCCCTGACTCCTAACCTTCTTTGTTCAAGTATTTAGACTTGGTGGCAGCCTGTATTAAGTAATTATATCTATGTTTTGACCTCACAGTTTGTGCTCTTGAGTTGCAGCACATTTCTTAGATAGTAGAACTCACAGCCAATAGTGTTGTGCTGTCAAACACAGCACAGTGCTCCACTTAGATGAACCACATCTTCTTTTGCTGCTTTGTATAAACCTGGATAAACCTATTTATTAGCCATAAGTCATTTTAAGAAAAAATAAATAAAGCTTAGATTTGAGACTTCTTAAAACACAGATCTTTCAGCCCAAGGCAGATTGACTCAGTAACAGTGAAGTTCTCATTTCTTTAACAATCTGTAGAATTTAAGAATATAATTGAAGAGTAAAGAATAGTATGTAAATATAAAAGGTCCTGCAGATAGAGCTATTTATTGTTGATCTCCTTCTGTTGTGTACCTTCTACTGGCATATGTTGAGATCAAGAAGAAATATCAGATATTGCCACTGGACTCCCCAGAAACTTAGAAGCCAATTGAAGAAACAAAACACACCATGTAATGGGCTCTATGGATTCAGGCAGAGCAACAGGGTCAGAAAGGTGTTTTAGTTTGAGTTGACCCTGAAGCAGATCCTGAGACAAGGATTTGAGTCCGTGCATATTTGGGGGAAGGTGGAAGAAGCATGGAAGAAGGGAAAGGAAACAGAAAAGAGAAGACAGCCAATAAAGGGAAATTATTAGTCAGCTATCACCATGGATAGAGGGCTTACGCATGTTTTCCATAGTAGGATTCTTGGTGAAGGTGAGACTTGACAATGCTCTTTCTCATCTCTCCCCAGGTGTCTGCATGTTACTATCCCTATTGTCCATTGTGTATGGAGCCTTGCGCTGCAACATCCTAGCCATCAAGATCAAGTATGATGAATACGATGTAAAAGTGAAGCCTCTGGCCTATGTCTGCATCTTTCTCTGGAGGAGCTTTGAGATTGCTACTCGAGTCATTGTTCTGGTCCTCTTTACCTCTGTCCTCAAGGCCTGGGTGGTACTGGTAATACTCATCAACTTCTTCAGTTTCTTCTTATACCCCTGGATCCTCTTCTGGTGCAGTGGTTCCCCATTTCCTGAAAACATCGAGAAGGCCCTCAGTCGAGTGGGCACCACCATCGTGCTGTGCTTCCTCACCTTACTTTATGCCGGTATCAACATGTTTTGCTGGTCAGCTGTGCAGCTGAAAATCAACAGTCCTGACCTTATCAGCAAGTCTCAGAACTGGTACCGGCTACTGGTGTACTACATGCTGAGATTCATTGAGAATGCCTTCCTCCTCCTTATGTGGTATCTTTACAAGACTGATATCTATATGTATGTGTGTGCACCTCTATTGATTTTGAAGTTGCTCATTGGGTACTGCACAGCCATTCTATTCATGCTGGTATTCTATCAGTTCTTCCACCCTTGCAAAAAGCTCTTTTCCTCCAGTGTTTCTGAAAGCTTTCAGCAGTGGCTAAGATGTATTTGCTGTCACTGCCAGTGGCAGAAATCCTTAGATTCTGTAGGAAAGATAGATGTAAGGTCATCCGGAGACAGAGATGAGACACCTTCTAGTAGTAAAGTAAGTTCTATGCCTAGCCAGATCTTGAATGCTGATGATCTCTACTCTGCTTAATAGGACCTGAGTCTCTTGAGCCAAAGACATTGTTTTTTGTGTTGATTACTGTTCTTCATAGAAGTGATGAGCCCTGCACAGTTAACAAAACAGGAAGTTAACTCTCACATCCTTGTGAGTTGCTCCCATTTAGAGAACCCTTGAGTGTGTGAGAACTATGAAGAGAAGTTAGGGAAACTTCTGAGTGTTAGAGGAACAGTCTAGGGCACCACCATTCACAGACAACCATGTTCACCCAGGCATTACTGTGTGTGTGTGTTTTTTATTTTTTTCACTGACAAAGTACCCATGATATCTGAGTTGAGCTGGTTAGACATGATATCTGAGTTGAGCTGGTTAGATTTATCAGGTATAAAGAGGGGCTTTCTTATTTTCTAGTTTTCTGGACTTTAGTCTGTGTAGCCTAATGTTTTATTATTCTTGAGCATAGTTTTCATCCAAGAGCTTGGCTTGATGATCATATAAAGTTACTGGGTTTTGCCATTGGTAACGTCATTACTGTCAGAGATTTCAGAGAAGGCTGTTCAAGTTTCATTTTTGAATAGATTAGTGTTTCATTTTCATTTCATTGGGACTCTTTATGTAACCAACTGTAGCCACCTTAGACTGCTATCTCTAATTGATTTAAAAGTCTAGATTGGGAGACTTTATACCCAAAGATCCATGGATACAACATTGAGTTCTAAATTTCATTATGGAAGCCCTAGACTTTTAGGAAAGTTATGTATTCCTTCAATATATTGAAGTTCTGGAACAAGAGGGTTGTTAAAACATCAAAATGATGTAGGCTTTTGTAAGCAGAATTCTTAACTTCTTGGGAAGGTTGAAGATGTGAATCAGAAAGAAGGTAGGCTTAAACCTCTTCAAGGTTTAGTCCTATCCTACAATTCTGTGGAATTCCTAGTAGGATTTGCAAGGATTTGCCTTCTTAAGAAAGAAGAAAATAAAACTCATAGTCTTTACTCCACTTCTTCCTTGCCTGTTAAGAAAGTTGAAGACAAGAGTTACTTTGGTTAAGTTAAAAAAAAAAAAGTTACTTCGGTTAAGTTTTTTCTAGAAAACTCTACAGAAATTTTTCATCTAGCACAGATATATAGGACATTTCATTTTTTATTAGTTGAAGCAAAAAGGTGTTTTTTTTCCCTTCCCACCAAGTTAGATTTTGACTTCAGAAACTTAAATTATAGAAAGTGATTAAATGACCATAAGATACTTGTCTTTAACATTTTGATTTGGTGTTATTATTATTTAATTTATATAAGATCTCCTATTTTATCCTTCTATTCTCTCCTATCTTCAGTATAATTTCTGAATCCTATTTGCTTCATAAAAGGATTGTGTAGGATATCCTCAGTTGTCTTGGGAAAATGCCTGGATTGAATGCCATTATTTCCACCAAAAGAACCTTGATAATGGAATACCTAGAAGCAGGTAGCCTGTCATTACGTAGGCTGGACATTATGGGTCAGTCAGGGTTGACAGTCTAAATACTTGGCTGTACTTTCTTACCCATCTAGATTCTAACGGCAAGACTGTGAAGGGACAAATTAAAAATGGTTAGTTTGAGCAGGAGTAGTTGTCAGAATTAGACAGGGATTGAAAAACTGGTACTTCCCAGCCTTGGTTTGGAAGCTTGTCTTGAAGTACATTTTAATGTAGAAAATAGGTAAGCATTTTGAGTGACCTCAAATCAAACTAAGAGTGATGGCCTATCACATTTCCAAAGCCCAATTATAAGCCACTTTATAAGGGTAACTAAATTGGAAATTTTGTCATCTTTAAACCTTAATATACAGATACCCTTGCTTTGCGGCCATGTGTGTCCATTCATTTTGGGGGAGGAAAACCACTAATTTTTTTCTGCATGGTGAAAATTTGTCATGGTGAACTGAAATGGTAAAATTATAGTTCTTACTGCAGATCTAGGTTGACCTAAAGACAAATGAACCTGCAAATTCCCTCATATGTTGAGTTAAAATGTGGTTTTTAGTTAGAATTTCAATTTTAAAAACTCAATGCTTTGTCTAATTAATTATATGCCACAACTTGTCATGACAGCTGCTCCAATTAAATTACTATAATTTTGATGGTTAGAAGTGAAATATTTCCTCAAAATATATTGAAATAAGATCAGCAAACATATTTAGACTTTCTTCATTACTGGAGACTGTGCAGTATAGAGATTGCCATCTACTTGTTAAGCCCTACAACTGCTTTATGCCTCAGTTTCCTTACCTACCAAATTTGGATGATATGCTTGCCCAGCCTACCTCACAAGGTTAATGGAAAGATCAAATTAAATTATAGGTGTGAAAATATTTTTAAAGTGCCATGTATATTGAAGGAGTTTTTATTATAGTTATTCAAATCCATAAACAGGTTATTATTATTTTTTTACTGTTAGAAAAGAAACAACATTATCTGCATGAGTGTCTCTAGTGAATATGTTAGCATTTGCCCTTATGAAAGGGCAAGAGTGTAAATTGCCTTTACTTTTGGAGAAAACTCAGCCTTGCCCATCTCTTACCATTAGTTACTTACAAAAATTGTCACCCAAACACATAGTTCATGGAGGGAAAAGACCCACTGCAATCTGAGAAATTGTTTTTGATGGCATCTTGCATAAGGGACATAACAGTACCTTTTGGTAATTTATAACTTGAGTGCTTGAATGTGGGTTTAATCTTTTCAGCATTGTAAATGGGAAAATGCTGCATTTCCTTTAAAACCACCTTGGAAAATTAGTGCTAATGTTACGTGCGAATGTGTCAGTACTTCTCAGCCAGTAAATTGTGGATGTGAATTTTATAGGCTGCTTCTCTGCAGCCATTGATGCTAATAAATGTTGTTAATGTTTCTTCATTTAATAAATTACTTTTGCAATTTCCTCTTTCTTTGCATTCTTTATATAGTCCTTTTATGCCTTTTTAATTTCAGGGAATGTTTTAAAAACAGGAATTTGAAAATTATTTTGTTGTGATTAATTAGCTTTATAACCTCACCTGGAAATTCTTTCTGTATGATGAGAAACTTGAGTGTTCTAGGATTCTGTTTTGTAAGACCAACAGCCACAGAATCTCCTATGATTGTTTTTTATAAGCATTTACTCTATTTGTTAAAGCTGCATTGCTGTTCGATTACTGTGTGACACAAAGAAGTAAGGTAATAGACATCTCTTCTAGACAAATATAAATAGTGTGCTGATTCAGAAATATAAAATACCAAAGGGGTGACTTGATATTAACATAAACAAATAAATGTAGGTGATGACCCACGGTTGGAAAAATCATCAGTTATGAGACAGACATGGATTATTTCAAGAATTCCTTTTCTTCTAAAAGTGGCCTTACAATTTGGAAAGACTTAACTATAGGATGCATCTTTTAAAAGAGATCTCTTGGTGTTAAATCAAATCCCTTGAGAAAACTGAATGCTACAAGTATAGTGTTTAAGTACATCAACCTAAAATTACTTCATTCAGTGTTTATAAATGTTTTATTTTGAAATAATTTTAAGGTGATTAATAGAAGATCATAAAAATAGTTTAAGCAACCCTGGCCATTGTGGCTCAGTTGGTTGCGTGTCATCCATGCACCAAGAGGTCAGGGCACATGCCTGGGTTGCAGTCTTGATCCCCTGGTAGGGGGCATGCAGGAGGCAGCTGAATGATGTTTCTCTCTCACATCATTGTTTCTCTTTCTCTCCTCACAACTTCTATAAAATCAATACAAACATTTTAAAAATAATAGTACAAGGAATTCCTTTGTATTCTTCACCAAGATTCACCTATTAACATTTTGCCAAGCTTACTTTATCATTCTCTTTTCTTAAAATACTTTGGTGTGTATTTCTAAAGAACAAAGGCATTCTCTTACATAGCCACAATACAGTGACTAAATTCAGGAAATTTAACATAGATACAATGCTAGTATCTAATCTTGAGTCCTTATTTCACTTAATTGTTCCAATCCATTTGTTGTCACAAAGCTTCCTCAACAATGTAAACTCACTCAGTTCTCTTCTATGGATTCTTTTTGTTAAAACTTATCAGTAAATTTTAACTTGCCTATGAACACTGGGAAAACTACAGCAGATTTTGAAAAGCTATTTGAAGAGAACATATGTTATCACTATTGACTAATTGGTTAAAACCATAAATTTGGAATGGTTACTAGTGAACTGTGGGTAATTCTTTTTCATGGATATCTATTTTAGGCATCAAGTATTTGCTTCTTAGTATGTGATCCTGTAGTTCTGTCGCCATCCTTGCCTCACTGTTTGACTGAATTCGGGCCCAAGTTTGTAAAAATTAGGAAGAAGATAAGGGAAGTATATATTATCCCTCTATGGCCATATTTCTCCAAGTTCTACTTTCTGAGAGACTATATTATCTATCAACATCTTTACAAATGGAGAGGAGCTCAGAATTGTTAACTATATACTATAATTTAAATGAGTAACATTTTCAGCCTTTTCTCTCTCAGAAAAAAAAAAAAAAAAAAAAAGGCACTTCATAGAAGCAGAGATTTGTACAGAGCTGGGAATTCAGAAACAACCCAAACCCACCTTTCCCAGCACATAATACATCCTATCAGTCTAGACTCCTAACCTGCTAAGAAGATGTGTCTGCCTCAGAAGCCTGCTTGAGGGAATTTCTCACTCCTTGTCACCTTGCGTACATGGCTGTTTCTCTGGAAATTATTAGTCCACAAAGGTCTAAAACAGTGTTGGTTTAAGACAGTTTTGTATCCCAGAGCAGTATGCAGCTGCATCTCTTTGTCACAAGTTATCAGGAAATTTCCTACCTAGAGTCTACTGCAGCATACACTTGTGTAAGGGGGTTTCCGTGTTTGCCCCTACCAAGGAGAGGTTCATTCAGAAAGATTTTTGAGATTCTGCTTGTTCTTCTGCTCTATATATCCCATTCTGAATTAATTCTCTCTCTGAATGATGAGTTCTTGATTAAAACCTGATTAGCCTGCTTCCTAGAGCCCTGGGAATATCATCCTTCTTAGACATCTGCATTATTCATACTGGTTTAATATCTTAGAGTCAGCTTTTTATTTTAATTACCTAAATTCTGTGGTTAATAAGTCAGGTTTTCAGGGTGAGCAATAGCACTCAAGAAACAAAACATAATTTAGAAATTCCTTTCTGGGGTGGTACTATAAAACCATTCCCCAACCACCCAATGAAGAAGAGAATGGTTCTCTGTTTACCTCCTTAAGCTGAGTAGCAAAATCTTTTAGGAACAATGGTGTGCAGACCTCCAAGAATTGGAGTTATCACTCATTCCTTTCTACTAACTAGAAATGTTTGCACAATAATCAGAGATGTCTGGCCTATACTCTATAATCATTTTTAAACCCATCGGGATGCTGTTGTGAGTGATTTAAAAGGACTGACTTAAATTGTCACCATATTTAAATTAACTTTGTCATTAACCCCCCATCTTCTACCATGTGCAGTTGTTAAAATTCAAGCACTATTATCTACAAGGGGACCTTAAAAGACCTCCTTTGTCAATGGAAATGTTTGGAACTGTTACCCTGGAAGGTTTATTTCTCTGCTGGAATGTTTTATCATGTGTGCTCATGGTATATACTTTTCCTTTTAAGAAGTGTGTTGTTCACATATAAATCATTTGGTTTCTCTCTTTTCTAGCTTAATACAGAGTTAATGAAATTTGAATGTTCTATCTTCAAAAAGTAAATTATCTAACTTCACAAAAAGTAGGTCATTTTAAAAATGCAAAGAACTAATAAATGTATATTATAATAACCATCAAAATAGTTTACCAGAGTTATTTCTTTTTATTGTATTACTCCCTTTAGTATTATGAAGTGGCCTTCCTTATCTCTTGTTATGTCCTTCACTTTGAGATCTAATTTGTCAGATATAATTATTGCTACCCCAGAATTTTTTTTTTTTCTTTTTCATTTCCATTTGCCAGGAAAAACTTTTTCCATCCTTATACCCTCAGTCTGTGTGTGTCTTTTTTTTCTGAAGTGGGGTTCTTGTAGACAACAGATATATGGGTCTTGTTTTCTTAGTCAATCTGCTACCTTATGTCTTTTGATTGGGGTATTTAATCCATTTACATTTAAAGTTATTATTGATAGGTACTTCTTTGTCACCATTTTTATTCTATACCCTGGTGTTTCTTCTTTGCTTCCTATTTCTTTATTTTACAGCAGACCCTTAAGCATTTCTTGTCTTGCTGGTTTGGTAGTAATAAATTCCCTTAGTCCTTTTTTGTCTGTGAAGCTCCTGATTTCACCTTCAATTTTGATTGATAGCCTTGCTGGGTACAGTATTCTTGGATTTAGATCCTTCCTTTGCCTGACTTTGTATATTTCATTCCATTCCTTTCTGGCCTGATGAATTTCTGTTGAAAAATCAGTTGCTAATCTGATGGGGGTTCTTTTGTAGATAACTTTCTGTCTCTCTCTGGCTGCTTTGAAGATTCTTACTTTGTCATTGGTGCTTGCCAATTTAATTATAATGTGCCTCGGTGTTGGTCTTTTGGGGTTCATTTTGCTTGGAACTCTGTGAGCTTCTTGGATTTGTTTGGGGTTTTTCTTCCCTATATCAAGGAAATTTTCTGTCATTATTTCTTCATATGGGTTTTCTATTCTTTGCTCAGTTTCCTCTCCTCTGGAACCTTTGTTATGTTGATGTTATTTTGTTTTGTGTTGCCCAAATTTCCCTTAAGCTTTCCTCCTGCTTTTTAATTTTTTTTTTTATTTTAGAAGCTGCTCAACTTGGGTATTTTTTCCCATCTTGTCTTCAAGCTCACTGAAGCGGTCCTCTGCTTCTTCTAGTCTAGTCTGGTCTATTTTATTTATTTACTTATTTATTTATTTATTTTTCAATAAATCCTTATTGTTCATATTATTACACATGTTTCACATTTTCACCCCTCCATTACTCCCCTCCACCAGGTTCCCACCCCACTGGCTTCCCTTTCCCCACCCCCCCATTGTTCTCATCCATAGGTGCACAGATTATGTTCAATCTCTTCCCGCACCCTCCCCATGCCCCTATTCCCCTTTTCCCCAAGAATCATCAGTCCACTCCCCTTCCATGCCTCTGATTCTATTATATTCACCAGTTAATATTTTTCTTCAGATTTTTTAATTCCCTTGGATTTTAGATTCACTTGTTGATAGTTATGTATTTGTTGTTCATAATTTTTATCTTTATTTTCTTCCTCTTCCTAAAGAACCCCCTTCAGAAATCCATATAATTCTGGTTTGGCGGTATGAATTCATTCAGCTTTTTTTATTTTTTTATTTATGAAGCTCTTTATCTGATTCTGAGTGATAGATTTGCTGGGTAGAGTAATTTTGGCTATAGGTTCTTGTTATTCATCTCCTTGAATGTTTCTTGCCATTCCTGTCTGGCCTGCATGGTTTCTGTTGAGAAATCAGCTGACAATTGTATGGGTGCTCCTTTATAGGCAACTACCTGCTTTTCTCTTGCTGCTTTTATTATTCTCTCTTTGTCTTTTGCTCTTGGAATTTTAATTATGTTGTGTCTTGGTGTGGTCCACCTTGGACTTCTTTTGTTTGGGGTTCTGTGCGCTTCCTGGACTTGTAAGTCTATTTCTTTCACCAGGTGGAGGAATTTTTCTGTCACTATTTCTTCCAATATGTTTTTGGTATCTTGCTCTCTTTCTTCTTTTGGGACCTCATAATTCTGATGTTAGTTTGCTTGAAGTTATCCCAGAGGTTTCTTACATTATCTTCAACTTTCTGGATTCTCTTGTCTTCTTGCTTCTGCGGAGGAGTATCCTCTGGCTCTTTGTGTTCCAAATCTTTGACTTGATTCTTGGCGATCTTTCATTCTGTTTTTAGGACTCTGTATAATATTTTTTTTATTTCA